ATTATGGGGGTTCTAAGAACATGTCGTGGTAGGACTATAGGAATGCCGGGACGGTCGGTCCCTGCTCAATTCTGGGGCCGGGGGCCATCCAGCGCGCGACCTTCCCCGCCCCGGCCGCAGCTGGTGGGGGGGGGAGGCGGGCAGCGTGGCGCAGCGGAGAGCGCCGCCGGGCCTGCGAGGCCCTGAAGCTGAAGGGGGAGCTGGCGCAGGAGCAGGCGGCGCGCGCGGGGTCGCACGAGCAAGTCCAGGCCGCCGCGAAGGAGGCACGCCTTTTTTCCGTTCCTCCGCCGGGAGGAGGGCGGAGTGTGCGTCTGGAGATCCCTGGGAGATCCTTGGCAGTCTCCAGGGGTCCCCAGTGGCCCGAAAAGGGCAGAAGGTGCCAAAGATCATAGTGCTTCTGCTCTCCATGTTCTATTCCGGCTAAACTAACTAAACACACATCGGGGGCAACAAAACCAGTCTCAGGGCTCTAGACACCGAATTCCGAGTTCCAGGCCGAAAAAACTCAAAAACGTTATGTGCCCCTGTGACGTCGGGATTGAGGTCGGCGCGCGGCCGCGGGGGCCTGGCGGCGCCCCGCTCCGCTTGTGCGGCGACGGGGTCCGATACAGCCAGGGGGGCCCGCGACGAGCGACCGACGCTGACTGCATCCAAACACCGCGGATCCCACCCACCCCCGAGCTGTTGGACGGAGCCACCAGGGCCAGAACCCGCCGAACAGCCTGGGGGTGATGGGGACCCGCAGCGCGTCACGTCCGACTGTGGGCTCTCCTTCGGAGCGACCCCAGTCGGGCAACCCTGCTCTCAAGGGCCCTCAGGAGCTCTCTTCCGCGCTCGCTGCCAGTCGCAGCGACCATCGCGGCCACGCTGGCCGCCTGCTGTCTCAGGGCCGTCAGCTCAGCTTCAGCATCTGGCCTAGATCTTTCTGCAGATCTCGCTCGAGCCTGGACCTTGGGGGCTGGCCGTCGGACCGCACCGCCCCCTCGGCCTCCAGCATGGTGAGGAACGCCGTCCGCACGTCCCTGACGAAGATCGGCATCAGCGGCATGTCGGCGAGGCACCGCGGTCCCTCCGCGTCGCTCTCCGTGATCTCCTCCTCGTTCGCCTTCTTCTTCCCCACGCCGTGCTTGCTCAGCCACTTGGGGTTCTCCAGCGGCAGCTGCACGTGCGGGTTGATGGCCATCGTCATCTTGCTGTACCCCGTCGCCTGCACCTGCTCGTCGAACCTCGCACGCTTGAGTCGGAACCCCTTGAAGACCTCGCCCGTGAGCGCTGGGGACTCCTCCAGCGCCGTGTTCATGAGGGACATCACGCACTGCGCCAGCCTGACCTGCTGCCCGTTGCCCATGTCCGCGACGGCCAGCTTGTTGATCACGCTCTTCGCGATCTGGACGTGCGGGCTGCCGAGCTCCTGTGGAGTGTAAGCCTTGGACTCCACCGCCTCGTTGTACTCCTTGCCGCTCGCCTCCGCCGCCTCCACGGTGACGCTGTTCACTGGCACCAGGCGGAAGTCGTACACCGCTCCCTCCAGGCCGCGCTGCCCCTGCATCGTGTTCAGCACCCCCTTCTGCAGCCTGACGACCATCGCGTCGGAGACCCCGCTGGAGCTGGCGGCGACAAGCCTCGTGCCACCATCGGTCGCGAGCTTCTTCTTCTTCTTGCCGCCCGCCTTCGCCTTGCCCGTGGGTGTCGCCCCCTCTGGTTTGGCCGCCTCTGGTGCCTTCCTCTCCTGCTCGACGTCGTCCTCCCTCACCTGCTTCGCCGTCTTCGAGTCTGGGGCGACCGCCTCGCTCACTGCTTCCATGGTCGCCGAGCGCTCCCTCCTCGTCGCCGAGCCCGTCTGAATCCCCCCTGACAGGAACTGGATCGGCTTGACGGGCGGTGCGCTGCTTGCGGTGCTTCCAGCTGCTCTCATCGCTGTCCACTGCAAGAGAAAGGCCAGTGGGGCCCTCATGATGTGACCGAACATGTACTTGAAGCTCGAGCAAATGGACAAAGGAGCGCTCGCAGGCGGGACATTGGAGGCTATGGGGCTCGATCGGCTCGTGATGCCAGGGAGAGTGGTCGACCATACACATTCGCCGTACTCGCTTCGCTCCTCGCGATACCCATCCCCCTGCTACTCGAGAAACGTGCTGCATCGCCCCCTCCCTCGTAGGAAAACAACTCAAGCACCAGGGACATTGATTTGTAACCACTAACCGTCGAAGTTCGTGCTGTACCCCATGGACGATGCGACGATGAGTCTGAGGAGCAGCAAAGGAGTGGAATGTTTTGCCACACATAGTGCCGTCAACCGTCTCGTTGCAACCACATTCAGCAGGTGGGGGCGCGATCCACTCGTCTTGAGCGGCCTCTGCCCCGTCCACCCCCGCGCTCGCGAGGCCAGGTGGGGGTATCTGCACGGCGAAGGATGCCGCGCGCATAGCTCGCAAGTCCAGCCTAATGAACTGGTCGTGCACGTCGCCCTCGTAGAACAGGTCCAGCAACCCTCCAGGAGCCGACACCAGTGTCTCCCACATGTCGTGGCAGTCCCCACTCACCTTGCCCATCTCCCTCAAGTCCTTCTCAAGTTGTAGGCACCACGGAATAGAGGTTGAGATAGGCCATCCGTCCTCTCCCAGCCTGCAAATCCCCATCTCCTCCTCGAACTTGCACTGCCCGAAGACCGCCGCGATCATCTGCTCGTGGGCCTTGGGGTACTTCGCCATGCGCTGGTAGAACCGCAGCCTCCTCACCCTCAGCTCGACCTCTGGCTTGGCGAGCTCCCAGTAGTCCCACACCTTGGCGTTCGTGATGGTGCGTGCTGAGCCGTCGTCCCTCCACTTGGTAAAGCGCCCTCCCATCAGCGACCGCAGGAGCTTTGTGAGGACTGTGGTGATCCGATCGACCTGGCTCTGCGTGACGAGGAGCACGTGCAGCGCCGAGAGGGCGGTCTCGTATACGTAGCTAATGAACTGCAAGCGGGCGCACCTCTTCTGGATCTCGTGGTGCCAAGTCGAGCCCATGTTGTACCATCCACGCTTCGCCGCCATCACCCTGGCCTTAATCTCCTCGTGCACGGACAGGTCCGCCGCCACGATCGGTCCAAGCAACCTGGCGCACTTGGCCACCGTCCCCTTCAGGTGCCGAGACGTTGCCACTTTCCTCGTCGCCGTGTTCGAACCATGGCCCCGTAAGTCGAGCGTGCTGACAGTTTTGTCCTCGTTTAGTCCTCCGCCCTGCTTGCCAATCGCCGTGTTGATCGTCCTGGTGGTGCGGTTGAGCCTGCGGACGATGTCGTTCCCAGTGGCGTGCTGGGGGATCGGGGTGATGCGCGTCACGTCGTCCACAAACACCGCCGCCCCGATGTCGAAGGTAGCGTCGTCCCTGTCAGGGATCGCCGTCTCGAGCCAGGTGAAGCTCTCGTCCTGCTCCTTCAACTCGTCAAAGGCGTTGTCGACCGCGACCGAGTAGGTGGCCACGAAGCCCCACGGGATCAAGCTGCTGCCCATGGCGCCTCCCTCCTGCGGGGTGAACTCGAGCTCGCCATCAGGGGCCGAGACGGTGACGCATAGGTCGGAGAGGAGTTGTGCGAAGAAGGGCCTGTCCGCGGCCTGCAGCCTGTCACCTGCGTGTGTGATCCAATGCTCCCAACAGATGGCATTGAAGGCCCCAGCCGCATCCCAGTTCTGCTGCGCAACCGAGAAGTTGGAATCCCTGAGCCGCCAGCATGCCGACTGCAGCGCCAACAGAGCAGATTCCCTACTGCGATGGGGTAAGCTGCCGTGCGCCCACTCAGGCCAGTCTCCAGGTAGTTGCCGTCGTCGGATGCCGCTGTGCCAAGCCTGCGAGAGATGGTCATACAAGTGGATCACGCGCTGCCCCTTCAGGTCGGCCCGTCCTTTGTTCTTGTCGAGCCCGATGGCGCGAGTGCGCTTGCCTGATGGAGCGAAAGTCTTCTTGATGCGCGTGTCCTTTAGCAGGTCCCATAGGCACTGCTCGAACTTCGTCATCTGTATGGGTGCATTGTCCACGCAGCCGAGTCCCCTGCCCGTGCTGTCGATCCGCTCCATGGGCGCCAGGCATATAGCGAGCATCTCTGTGCAGACGCCCCACTCGGGGAATGCTTTCCTCCTCGGCGCCCGACGGCAGTATTTTTTGATCGCCTTCAGATCATCACGAACTTCATCATGTAGAGAGTTGTCGTGTACTCCGTCCCGCCACATGCCGTTGTCGCGCAGGTACTCGCCCCTCACCTTGGCCTTCGTCAAGTGCTGGTCCCAGGAGGTCGTCAGCGCGCGCATGCCGCCAGCGACCCCCTCCTTCGCCATCCCCTCCTTCCACTCCTCAGCGCCCAATGTGCAGTTGGCAGCAATGTATGTACGTTTGCGAATGCCTTTCCCTCTGCCAGCGAGCCGTCCCCTGAGTGCGTAAACTCTGGAAAAATCGCGAATCCTCCAAGCCTCCCCCAGCTCCTCGATCCGCTCGTAGAAAGTCTGTTCCTGGTGAGCCTTGCGACGTGCCTTGCACTCGCCTGTGAGACGCCGTAGCCGCGCCTCTGCAACCATCACGTTGCGCTCGAAGTCGTGGTTGTGGTCTGCGTTGCTGCGGCCAGCCTGCAGCTCTGCTAGTTCGTGTGCCACTTGAGCACGAGCCCGCAGAGCCTGAACCCTTTCTTCTACCAGATGCTCGTACTCCATGCCCAGCCTCCTCGTGGACGGGAAGACAGAGAGCGTGGCGTCGCGGATCGCCTTCGTGAAAAGCTGGTGTTTGGTCTCAGGCGTAGGGTCGGAGTCGGAGAGGTTCCACTCGGCCTCGACTGCGCTCAGGTTGGACTCGACCTTCTCGCAGAACTCGCGCCTCCGCTCGCCCTTGGTCAAGCACCTCATGAGGGAGTCCCGATCCACTCTCTCCGTGGCGCTCCGTAGCGGCGAGTAACTCAGCTCGTAAGTGATGTGGACCTCCATTGGACAGTGGTCGCGAAGCTCAGCTGTAGGGAAAGGTGAGAGCGTGCGCATCAAATCGGGGCGCATCCTGATCATTGGCACAAACCCCATCGCCGTGGACGGAACGAACACATGATCAATCCAGCTGTTCGTCTCTGACCCGTAGTAGCTGGCGGGCAGGCGAAAGTGCGTGTTGGCAGCGGTAAGGTAGTTTGTGGCCGCCCACCATCGTAATTGTTCAACTTGTCTTGATCGCCGATGTCGTCCATGCCGTCCAGCCACCTCGTCTATGTCGCTGAAGCCCAGCTGCTCGTTGAAATCCCCAGCGATCACCACCAGGTACCTGTTGCCTGCCTTCGCCACCTCGTCAGTGATCCAGCCTAGGATGCGCTGCATGGACTCCGTGCGCTCCTCCTGGGTCCCAGAAGGCGTGAGATAAACTCCAAAGACGAGCATCGGAGTCCGCGCCGTCGCGAGCTTGATCCCTCCCGCCCGTCCAGTGATGCCCAGCTTCGGCGGAGGGCTGAGTACCTGGCGAACATGGTTGCGTCGAACTCGCCTCCCAATCATGATCGTGATGCCGCAGCTCTTGTTCGTGAACCTTCCACGACGCCAGCCCCATCCGAAGGCCACGTGCCTCATCGTGCGGATGGCCGTGACGGGGATCGCGTCGTCCCTCTGGCGCTGCTGCGTACCTGGCAGCACCACCACATCAAAATTCTGCAGCGCCTCACTCACGAGCTCCTCCCGCCAGGCAGGCAAGCTCTGCGGGTTGTAGAGGCCCAGCGTGAGCATCCAGAATGCGGCGGCCGCGCGCGCCACCACCAGCTTCGCGGAGGCCATGGCGCGCGGAGGCCTCAGGGGGCCGGCGCAGGGTCAGCGCCTCCCATCCCGCGGCGGCAGGCGCCTTACGGCCCCGACGAAATCACAGGCCCGTTGGGGGCCGCCGTGGTCGCCCAGATCTTCCTCGTTCGAGAGGAAGTGGCGACTCTATTCCGGCTCCTCCTCCTCCTCCTCCTCAGTTCTTGCATCCTCGATCTTCTATTCTGGCTCCCCGTCCTCCCTCTTCTTCCTGTCGGCCCCTTCGGCGGCGCTCCCAGCGGCCTCTTCGACGACCCGCGCCCCCGTCCTCCTCCTCCTCCTCCTCCTCCTCCTCCTCCTCCTCCTCCTCCTCCTCCTCCTCCTCCTTCCTCCTCCTCCCCCTCCTCCTCCTCCTCCTCCTCCTCCTCCTCCTCCTCCTCCTCCTCCAGTTCCTCGTCCTCCCCCTCCTGCTTCTTCTTCCTCCTCCTCCTCCTCCTCCTCCTCCTCCTCCTCCTCCTGCATGGTGCTTCAGAAAAGGCCTCGACTTCGAGGGAGATAGTCCGCTGGCTGCTCTCCTTCGGCGGAGGCTGGTGGACAGACGCGGCGGAAGGTGGCCGAGGCGAACGGGAGGCGGGTCCGCCGGCAGGGCCCAGCGGAGGCTTGCGGAAGCCAAATTTTGAGTTCCCAGAAGATCGGGGGAGCGTAAGACCCGGGTTTGCCAGGACTCGGGTTCGCCATCGTTTTTTGACGACCGCGACTCGGATTTTGACGAGTAGGAGTTTCGTGGGATGTCTGCAGCAGGAGGCCTCGTCAAAATGCAGGCTCGGCCTCGTCATTTTTTAACGACCTCGTCGGGGATTTCCGAGTCCCCTGTACCCGGGTCTTACGCCCCCCCTGAAAGATGCGGCTTTGTTCAATTCGTGGTTTCCGTGGCGGGCCGCGTGAGAGTGAGTACACCCTGGCACCACTCACGCCCCTCCCACAAGCGGAACCGTCTTGGATTACGCGCCGCATCGTTGGGACGGCGCGGTTGGGCTGCAGCGGATAGTTTGGGCGCCCATTTGGGCAGCATGGGCCCTGAGGTTCGTATCTACTTGCGCTGTGCAGCGCTAGAGGTCGGAGATGAAGCCGAGAAGGGGTGGGTCGACGACGTTTGAGGTGATGCGTGCAGTCTTATTCACTCACGTCGGATGAACCGCTCCGCGACTGTATGAAGGCACTTCAGTTGAACTGGCGCGCCAGATCTGCCTTTACAATTCAGCAGTGCAGTGCGCGCCTGGCGGCTGACAAACTCTAAATCGTGATGCATCGCTTCCCCAAGCAGCAGCATGGTATAAGGGGCGTCGATTGGTTTAGGAGCATCCGTTCCTTCGCGCATCAGAATGCGAAGCTTGTGTCGCCCGAGTGCCGAGCCGTGCATGCCACGTCGTGCCGTGCTGTGCCGGAGCGTCAGGCTGCGATTGTTTTTGCTGTGCCGTGCCTCACCTGAAATTCAGAATGGGAAAAAGTTGCTTTGCCGTGCCGTGCCTGAACTTCCAGAATGCGAAGCGATTGCCGTGTTGTGCCTAGACTTCAGTATGTGGAGCATCTGCCGTGCCGTGCCCATTTTAAGTTCAACACGCGAGGATGTTTGCCGTGACTTGCCGACCATGTGGCTTACCAGGCAGCGTTGGTGCGTAGGGTCTCTATGCTGGTAGGCGTTGTCCTCTACAGGACATGTTCCTTTTGAGAGGAATGAACTATCTATTGGCGCGTCGGGAGAGAAGCCAGCGAAATGTGTAGGTGGCCTTTCCTTGCGCTCATACAGCAAAGCGATGAGGAGTTGTGGCACAACTTTTCTGACCCATACTCATACAAAGTCTATTGTGTTTGGTATGTGTTGCATTTGCTACATAGATATACAAACATATATCTAGCCATAGTAATGGAGGCACACTTACATACATATGCACACATGTGTATACAATTCGAACGCGCACAGCAGCATCTGGCAACGCAAGGCCTAGAGAAGGAATGCTTGCCGAGTGCGTTTCAGCAACTTCCGCAGCAGGGTGCACATTGTTTGCCATATTACCGATTGTACTCCTGCCCGGGGAACGTGCAATTACCAGGGCGTCGCCAAAGGAGGTGCAGTGGACGAGTATCAGTGCTCTTCAATTAGTTATCGAGCGCCCTCAACTGTACATTCAGACTCGTGCTCAGCGCTGTGACCAGTACGAATGCGCGTTATGCGTTTCCAGATTTTGTCATTTCAACGTGGCTGCTTGGCGCACCGCGGGTATGGCGGTCTGTGCAATGTAGACCCTGGCGGTGACGTTGTGCGATTCTTGCGTACACGCGATTGATGCCGACTGTGCTGATTTACGATGTCGACCTGGCCAGTGGCCGCGAAGCTTCCAAGTTTACGCTGCACCACATCTGTCGAGGTCGCCGCATGCTGGCAATGCGAACTAGTTGGCGCTAGGGCTCTGCGCAGAAAGAGCGTGGTTGGCTCTTCCCAAGACCGTGCAATAATGCAAAGTGGTCGTTCTGGAAGAGCACTCGTTTTGTTGTTTTTGGACCGGCCCACAAGGAGCAGGGCTTGCCGTCCCTTGGGCTGGCAGAGAGCAGGAGGAGGAGAATACGGAGGAGGAGGAGGAGGAGGAGGAGAAGGAGGAGGAGGAGGAGGAGGAGGAGGAGGAGGAGGAGGAGGAGGAGGAGGAGGAGGGGCAGGGGAGGAGGAGGGGCAGGAGGAGGAGGAGGAGGAGGAGGAGGAGGAGGAGGAGGAGGCAGCAACCCCAGCGCGGGCGTTGCAGCCGGCGGCCCGGAGTCGGCCCACACCGACAGATCCTCGCTGTCGGAAGGCCGCGAGGGCTCGGGGCTGAACGCTCCGCGCGGTGCCGCAGACCAGACCAGCGACCAGAAGGAGGAGGAGGAGGAGGAGAAGGAGGAGGAGGCTGGGGGACAGGAGGAGGAGGAGGAGGAGGAGGAGGAGGAGGAGGAGGAGGAGGAGGAGGAGGGTTGCGCTACCTGAGCCCGTCGCGCTGCAACCTCCTTCTCGCCTCCTCCCCCGGCTGGCGACGCAGGTCGCGGCCCTGCAGGGCGAGCTCAGCCGCGTGCAGGGCGAGCTGTTCGTGCGGGGCGAGGCCCTGCGCATGGAGCAGGAGCAGGTGCGCCCGTGGTCTGCCTGCTCCGCTGGGGCGCTGCAGGTGTCAGAGGACACCGCTGCTCGTCGAGCCCCCGCGCCACGGCTGCGCTCCGCCCTGCGTTCTGAGATCCGAGCGCACCCCGTGAGAGGTCCGGGCAGTGGAGGTGTCGGTGTTTTCTCCGTGCCCCACAGGAGCGAGGCTACCCCTCGCGGGATCGACCGGGGTGACCTCTTTTTCTTGTTCGGCGGAAGGCGGCAGAAGGTCTGCGGAAGCCGGCAGACGCAGCACGAGGGCTGCTCTGCCGGCGGAAGCAGAAGAGGCGCCCCTAAGAGACGGTTTTCTCGGGTTGAGGTTTTCTGGCCGGCCGCACTTGCCCCAATTTACAGGGACAAGGGCTAAATGAACACCCGAAAGACATACCCCCGACACGTCCAACACCAGCCAACATTGTCCAACACAGCAGGCTCCGATGTTTGTTTTGCTGCAGGGGCGTCTGTTCGGTCGTTTGTTTGGCCCCTGCCTCTGACTGGGGCACGAATTGATTAGACGACGGAGCAGGTGCGGCGTCAGCGCGAGCTGAGCGAGGAGGAGCTGCGGTGCAGCCAGCTGGAGACGGCCGCGGCCAAGGCGGAGGCATCTCAGCTGCAGGCGCAGCTCGAGACAGGCGATCTCCACAGAGAGAAGTTGGCCGAGGGAAAGGGGTCCTGGGGTCTTTCGCTGCGTTGGGCCTTCCGCCGCCTTTTCAGCGGCCCGTCAACAGGCGGCCCGCGAAGAGACGCGGTCCGAGACAGGGGCAGGCCCTGGTCCATGGCCCGTTTTTCTCTCAGAACCTCACCCCCCTCACGCAAAAAGGGCCGATGTGGAGGAGTCGGATGGAGAGGGGGAGGGGGAGGAGGAGGAGGAGGAGGAGGAGGAGGAGGAGGAGGAGGAGGAGGAGGAGGAGGAGGAGGAGGAGGAGGAGGAGGAGGAAGATGAGGAGGAGGAGGAGGATGACCAGTGCAAACCCAGGACCCATCAATGATGTTGGAATAAACCCTCCCTCCAAGCTCCCTCATCACAGGCCCCTACAAAGGTTCATGTCCACTGTGGGAAGTGCCCCGTTGGGAGACGACAGTTGGAAGATTCTGAAGCGTGCCAAAACATTACTTTCGGAACTTCAGCGCTGCGAATCAACTCGACTTTGGCGTCTTGACGATTCTGAAGTGCGCCATAACATTATTCCTGTGATTTCAGCACCGCGAATCAACGTAACTATTGTTGCCCTGGCAGTTCTGGTAAGTTAGCGGCGGGAACCCGTGAAAGTTTCTACACATGGTCAGAACGAATGTGCGCGGCATTCAGGCGAGAGCCACACTTTGAAAACGAATTGTTTTTCAATCCGCGAAGCTCCTGCAAGTAAAACGAGAGCGCGATGCTAAGGCGAGAGCCACATGTTGAAAACCACATACCATCAATCCGTGGAGCTTTTGCGCATGTTTAAGACGAGTATGCGCGGCGCTAAGGCTTGAACCACATTTTGAGAACCACCCGCCTTCAATCCCTGAAGCTCTTGTTTTTTTTAAGGCGAGTGTGCGCGGTGTTATCGCGAGAGCCACATTTTGAAAACGGGCCGCCCTGAATCCGTGAAACTCTCGCAAATTTTTAAACCGAGTGTG